TTTTTTTTTTTTTTGCACAGTATACCTTATACAGTACTGTAATTTTTGCTGATTGTACTGTATACAACAGCACTATAATTTTATGTTCTGTTGTACAATACTGTGTGTAAGTTATGTAAATAAACGCAAAGTCATCAAGTTGGAGTTTCCTTTGGCCATTTCTTTGTCCTGAATATTGTAATGTACATACTATATACCATTCCTCATTTAGAGACCAATTTACTTAACGACTTAGTTGCAGGAACAAAACTTGGTTTTTAACTGAGAACTGTTGAGAGGGTTAAGCCCTGTTTACTCACTTCCCAAAGGTTGTTTATCCAAATACCATGAACATAAATTTGGGGATTAAATTTCTAAAGATGGAGTAGGGGGATATGTTCAAACTGTAGCATACTGTTTCCTCATGTTTCTGAGGATATTTCTAATTAATTTAGTGTTAGTGGGAAGTAGTGACAGATTTATTTGTACTGCTGTATTTAATTTCAGTGCTGTGGGGTGAGCCAAAGGCCTTCACACTGAGTACATCCCCTGCTGTTTTCTAGGTTTTTTTTTGGGTACCGGGGATCAAACTCGGGTCCTTGTGCTTGTGAAAACCTGTTTTCTAGGTTTTATTTTGAGACAGGGTTTTTACTGAATCACCTAGGCTGGGCTTGAACTTGTGATCCTCCAGCATTAGTCTCCCAGGGTGCTGGGATTATAGGCATGTGCCACCACATTGGTGGAAATGTTTTTGTTTAATAAAAACAGATTTTTTTTTTTTTTTTGGTACCGGGGATTGAACTTGGGCCCTTGCACTTGCAGGGCAGGAGGCAGAACCACTGAGCCAAATCCTCGGCCTAAAAACAACTTTTGAATAATAGTACAATCAATGGCCATGAGGAAATAATGTGCTGTTAAGGTTCCACCATGTGACTACTGATAACGGATCACTTCTTGTAATTGGGGAGCCACACAAATATCTTGTGACTCTCACTATCCAGTATAGCATAGATGGTTGCTGTCTAGTAAGATCACATGAAATGAATAAAAGGGGTGTAATTTGAAGGAATGGACATACGCAGAGAATGAAACACCTAGTTTTGTGAGATGTGTTTGCTGTGTGTTATGCAAAGTAATGAAATATTTTTGATATAATTTTATAGGATGATTTTTCAGGATTGTCACCATATGAAAAGAAGAGACTAAAGAACATATCAGAAAATGCAAAGTTTTTTGCTTCTCTTCAGTTGTCTGAGGTTTGTGTGAAGTTTATAATTAAAATCAAGATACTACTTACCCCTCCTGTCAGTAGATTAAAATATTTTAAAACGTAAGCTCTGTAGCTGTAAGGTAGCATACATATATTTATATATATA